ATGTGCAGAACGGTTCTAAACATGTTGCATACTGTTTCCTGAAGCAATATATAGAGTCCATGCAAGAATTATCACATAAGCAGCATTATGCACTTATAAGACATGTACTGCAAGGGAATTTTATTAAGAAGTGAGAGTTTTTGCTAGCGGCAAATATCCTGGTTACTCATTTTACTCACAGGAATGGTGAATTTCTCAAGGTCATGAGCAATTGCATGCAAATTAGATGTCCTTCGCCTCACTTGATCAGCCAGTGCCGTCACCTCATGCAGGTCATCTTAGGAGAGACATTCAAATATATTTAAAATAGATTCAAGGAACTGACCATACTGTTATATGCAACTAATTCGTGTTTGCTCACCATTCACTGCAAACAGAAACAGCATCATGTCATTTTGACTCAGACTCGGTAAGATGGTCTCCACAAAATCTTTGTGACCAATTATGAATTCTGGCCCCTAGAAATAGTTGTTTTTATATGAATAGTTATTAATAAATGTTGTAATAAGAAATATTCAGGTAAATATGGCCTTAGATTATTCCAATTGCTACCTTTAAAGTGATAGTTTTGCAGATGCAAAAATATTTAATTCATTAGAATAGTATGAGAATGAGTAAATGATGATAAGATCTTCATTTTTGGATGAACTATCCCTTTAAGTTGTGAAATCAATAACTTTGAGCTCACCAGAAATGATAGATCTCCCTCTTTGTTTTTCATTTCTCTGAAACCATTGTTGATAAAACCTCTGATGTCATCAAAATCTGATAAAATAATGACAATTAAAAGGTGCTTCTGGGTTTAAACATTTCTCATAAATTTATTCTTGCACTGTTATTTACCCATTAACAAACTGTTTAAAGAACATATCAAATGGTAAAATAATATTTGGCACTGCATACAGCACCTGCTCCATATGTTGGGACGCATTCGCTGGCATCAGTCAGTCCGATAATGCCCAGAGTTTGCCATCCAATATAGTACACATGAGCATTCATCTGAAGACTGATGAAAGATTTACAAAAAAGAAATCATAAGTGTGCCTTTGATTATGACAAAACCTTGATTACAAAGTCTGCATTTTTCTTTTACCACATGCACTAGAAGTTCAGCCTGTTCATGTGGGAAAACTCAGGTTTATGTGTTGGGAGACACTAAAGTAGTGAAATGTTGTACCTCTCTCCTGCTTGATGAATAAGCACTGCAAGCTCATCACTGTGTGAGTAAGTAGTTTCATAAACCATCTCACTCGCTGTGATCCAGGCAGAAATGCATCTGAATGACACATTTAATCATAGTAGATTACGCTTAGAACTGTGGAAAATGATTCCATATTTTATACTGCATATCCCACCAGGAATTCATGATTAAAAAAAATTATAAAATAAAATAAATATATATATATATATAC